CTATGTCTAAATTAGAAGTAATGAATCGCAAACAGTCGACGAGACCAAATTATTCACATCAATAATATTAATATGAAAACTATTTTTTACAGCATAATTGGGCCTTAGGGCTGTATAGTTATTGTATGGACTCATCTTGTTGTGCCTTGCTGGGTCTTATTAGCTAAAGCCCGTGTTTGGTTCATAATGTTTTTTACTGTTTTGCGCATGTGTGTATATATTGGATATGCATTTCACACTGTTGGAGAAGTCAGAAATTTTGGTCGGAAGGATTGAGATAAAATTTTAAAGATCGAGGGACTAAATTGGATCATTAAAATTTTTGAGGGAGAAAATTAAAGATTTTACCATGTAAATACATGTACAATTATAAAAATCCTGGGGCCATGGGCTGGCTGAAGGTTTCATAACATAATCACATGTATGATTAAGTATAGCTTTTGAGACAGAGACGGTGACCCTCCATTATTAACCGTTTCTGTTGTCTTTCTGCCTCAAAAAGCCTGAATTTTCTTTCAAGCTCTCAATTAAATAACTGAAAATAAAACATTACATGTGCTTTTAGTGTGGATTTTCTTGTCCCCCTTTACAACACTAATTCATCCTCCTCCTTAAGGTTTATAGCTATCTGGTTTTATATATGAACATTGTTGTAAGAGAATGTTTGCTGAAGCAGAAAGGGATTTACAATCCAAATGAGACATATGGAGAAAAAACAGGTTTCCGTTTGTTGTTTTTTGTCTTACGAAAACAACGTCGGTGCAAGAGGCTAATGGATCACATGGCTAGTTCCATTTGAAACCGGTTTTGTCGCACAAATTAATTTATATTCGAATTTTAAAGATGATATTAACATGCAATATATTTTTATTTATACAAAAGGAAAAAATGTGATACCGACCCTTGTATTACTACAACGTTCGGACATTAGAGATGATATTGTTAAGAGAAAGATTCGAACAGGAAAATACCTTAATTATTCAGAAAAATGTTGCCGACCTTTGAGTTGCTGCAGTCTTAGGATGCATCGTTTTGAGGCTACAAAGCTAAATGTCCGAAACAAGGCAGAGGGAAAACATCCCACATGGTGGAATTGCAAAGACAGTGGCACAAGGGTTTGAGATCCTAAGATGAATTCTGGACCACATATATTGTTTCCTTCTCCTTCTCCTTCGATTTCTTTCTGCTTGGTTTGGATGATAATTTTATGTATTCCTGTTATATTTATATACTTTTTAAATTATAATTATTTTAAAATATTCTTATATCAGTATAATATTAACAATACTTTCCCTTCAATATCACATCTAATATCACCGAATAACATCAGACAACAAAGCTAGCAGTCACACTAATAAGGAGAAAAAACATGCACATTGCATTGTCACATGTCCATGAAATATGAACAAGTAAACGAGTTGCCACAAAATTAGTTTATATTTCTAGTATAAAACATTTTTTTATTATTAAAATGTGTTATTTGTTATGGTTTAAGATTAACTTTGAAATACGATTGACCTTAGTTATAAAAATGAATATTGTTCTCTCTAGATGATTCAAGTTCGAGCATGTGGGGTGCGTCTGCTGGGTGTGTGTACTAACATTATTATAGACTAAGAAAAATTATGAACACGTAATACCTTGTAATCACCCAGACTATTAAAAAAATAAATTTGAACTAAATAATAAAAATTATAATGATAAATTTTTTATAAAAATAATATTTTAAGTGAAACGTAAAATTTAAAATGTTATATATGAATAAAATGTCGAAATTATTATTGTTATTGAAATATAATTTGAATAATATATTTTAAAAAATTAAGAAAAAAAATCCGAATTCAAGGTTGTGAAATAAATATTGATGATAAAAAAATGAAAACTTATTATTATTATTATTATTATTTCAATAAAATAAATTAAAATCATTAAAAAATCAGATAAAATTATAAAAAATCTCACATCATCAAAACAATATAATATTAACTTTAAAATAGGCGATAATGAAATTATCCATTATATTATAAAAATGGACTCTATAAATATCATATCACCCATTTATCACAATATTATCCAACATTACATGAAAATACGCTTTCAAAATGTAAAATAATTACATATAATCTTAGACTCTGTAAAGTATAAACTAAATACCTCTCGAGTTGATAAAATTTTCCAATGGGTCATGAAAATGGAGAACAACAAAGGCTATGCGCAGAAAAATATTTAAATAAATTAGGGTTAGATTAAGCAAGAATAGTTACGAAATTGAAAAAAGCAATTGAAACTTGTAATCTTTGCATGTATGAAGGAAAATTCTAAAATACAATTTATTAATATATGATAAAACGATAGAAATTGATTGTAATAGAAAATCTTATCAAGAATCTAAATTTTTAAGTTGGATGACCCTTAATTTTTGTAATGTAACTTTTCGATTGCAACTGAAAATGTTATAAATTTATATAATTTTTTAAGTTAAACATAATACTATTTTAGATTAAAAATTATCTTAAATTAATTTTAAAATTAAACTGTCGTAGGACAAAATTATGGAGCTAAGTTCTCTTAAATGATACCTTGGAACAGGGAGGTCACATGCCACATGGCCTAAAGGTACGTGATTACATTTTTCACCAAAACTCTATTTCTCTCTCTCTATATATAATATAGCCCTTCAATCAATTTACCGTAACAAAAAAGTTTGACCACATTACGAGGAAATTGCGATTGATTAGGGATCTTATCGAAGATTGTAATAAATTATAAAATATGATAAACTATAACGGTGGTCACTAAACTATTAGAGTGTTTTTATTTGGTCATCAAACTTTTGGTACTTGTGTTATAATTATTAAACTTATTATTATTATTATTATTACAATCATTGCTGTTAAGATTAACCGATGTGGTAGGTTAAAGTCTTTTTCCAAAAATAAATATTCATTCACCATAACAAGGTAATAAATTATAAAATATGATAAACTATAACGGTGGTCACTAAACTTTTAGAGTGTTTTTATTTGGTCATCAAACTTTTGGTCTTGTATTATAATTATTAAATTTTTTTATTATTATTACAATCATTGCTGTTAAGATTAACCGATGTGGTAGGTTAAAGTCTTTTTCCAAAAATAATAAACAAAAATCCTAAGATTCTAAATTGATAATTGTCGTAAAGGTTAAGTTTTCGATAAATAAAATAATCGCTAATCAATTTCAAACAGTGGGATAGTACCAATTTTAAGCTAATTCGACGGTTGATATTACCGGATCAAAAAGTTTTAAATTTTAGTTTCAAATAGGATTTGAGGAGATTAGGAGGTGTCTAGACGAGTTTGAACCAAATGAAAGAAATAGTAGAAGAAAAAGAGTAGTTTGATGATCTTTTCGACTAAAGAAACCACTGAACGATAATGAAAAAGTAAGCGACGACTATAAACTTTTATAGGGTTTTTGACGTGTCACATCTGCTACTATTGTTGATTTAACAACAGAATGATCGAAATACATTTTTTTCTCAAAGACAATAACTCCCGTATAAATTTTTCGATTCCAATGATTAAAATGAAAACATCTTAAAAGTTGAATAATTATTAGTATAGTTTAAGTTATAAAATAATTTATATGATTCAAACAACATGGTCATAACCTTTTACTATTGTTAATTCTTAAGTCGGTGTTAACTCGATGTTATCTATATTAGAATCTAAGTTTGATTAAAATAAATAATTAAAATATCGAATCGTAGACTTGACCATATGATCATCTCTACAACTTTTATAAATCTAGCTAAGGAAAGGTGGAACATGTGGCATATCAAGTGTGGAGACGTGACTCTAATTAAATATTTTAAAGTATATATTATAATTATTACATGTTTAATGTTATTTAAATGAAACTATAAACTTCTTAATCTAAGTGAGTTAACTAAGATCATGCCTAAAAGGTGCGTTCTAACATCTAATAACTACTTTATCCCACTCATGCTTGTCTAGATTTTTGTTAATTAAAAAGTGAGTTAAGATGACTATAGTCGATTAATCTTTCATTGCAATCGGTGATTCTTATGAATTGAAAAAGATAATGAATAATAATTTTAAAACTTAGGAAAGAACGAGAGCTCCAGAAAGAGTTTTCATTCAATTTTATATGACAATTTATATATGTGAATTTAGTGTTAATGTCAAATTTAAAATTATGATAATTATTTGTAGGTCGACGGGATGAGTAGATTTAATCATCATGTAATAAATTTATTTGGTGATAAAAATAACAATATCACTTTAAATGATTGTAGCAGTCCAAAGACTTTAATTTTTTTTAGAGAATTCGAAGAATGAATTTTTTTTCAACAGAAATACAATTTATGAAGAAAATCTAAAAGATATAATAATTTTTAAAATAGGTTAAAAACTTGTTTAAATTAATTATAGAGAGAAAGTGAGAATATATAGATAAAAAGACATGAGATAACTAATGACCAATTGGTCTATTAGGATTAAACACTAGATTATTCAAACAATATCATGAATTTGAATTCTTCGATTAAGAATCAGACAAAGTGGATTTAGTGTGCCGCCCTGTAATAGACTCTGTAAAATCTAATCTAAATTACTTAATCAAGAAATTAGATACAATTAATTAATTTTTAAAAAAAGACAGGAAGTAATAAGAGAACGTGGGCTTGCGTGCTAAACTGACAGGCGGGAGGGCCGCATAGATGGGTGATTATTGCCCTTAAACTCCACTTGCCTTCTTACCCCGATGACCACAGTATGGCGTATCTGTCTTCCTCTTTTTCTATTTGGTATTATGAATCATCCTTCTTCTTCCTCTTTTATTATATATATAACTTATATATTAACAAAACATAATTATTAACAAGCCTAGCCCGCTGCTTCCTTCCATGCATTTGTCTGTTATGATTATACTACCAAAGCATATCTCTCTTGGATCTTCTCATCCCATAACCCCAGTTTTCCTCCTCTGACAAAACCAAAACCCATCTCTTTCTCATACTCTCTCTCTCTATATATATATTTGCTTAAACTTTGATTTTGTTGGTTTAATTATCTCCGGACGCAACAATGTCAAGCAGAAGATCACGTTCCAGGCAATCAAGTGGTTCCAGGATCACTGATGATCAGATTATCGACCTTGTTTCCAAGTTGCAACAGCTTATCCCTGAGCTTCGTGGAAGACGATCCGACAGGGTACCTAATCATTGTTTTTTTTATTTATTACGTTTCTTTCTTTCGTGTGGCCATTGACTGATGTGTTTTTCCGACCAGTCTTTGGCTTAATAGACAGGTTTAAGGTTTTAAATCTCATGAAATGTATCAATTTCGTGTTGGGTCATCGTTGTTGTGTTTCAGGTATCGGCTTCCAAGGTGTTACAGGAAACCTGCAACTACATCAGGAACTTACACAGAGAAGTTGACGGCTTAAGCGACCGGTTATCTCAGCTATTAGCTTCGGCGGACACCGATAGCGACCAAGCAGCCATTATCAGGAGTTTGCTTATGGAATAATCAGCCTGAAAGATTGAGCATCGCTCAGTTTTTCCATATATCTAGGGTTTGTTTATGCAGACAAGAGTTGAACAATATGGGTGTAGTTTAACCCTAGTCAGTGAGACACTTGTATACTTATCGAGTTTGTCCTCATATATTTATAATATAAAAATAAATTATAAGTTTATTTACAGCTATACGTATTATTATTATTTCTGTATAATGCCATAATCACTTATAATCCCTAAACGAAGGTCATGTATCCATTAAATATGTTTAAACCTACAATTTATAAGTAATAATAATATAATCAACTAATATTTTATCAATATAATTAAGTAGTATTAGTAAGAAATTTTGAAAATTTGAAAGATTGTCTTGGTTTGTTCAGGGTGTCGTGCATGAATCTAAAGATGGATATGGCAAAGTTTTCAAATGTATAGAGGAAACCTAGATGGCTACGGTTGCATATACTATTATTTGAAAATAGTTATTTTTTAATTAGTTTAAGGTGATAGAAAAAAATTACTTTTCAATCATTACAAAATGAATGTTCAAACATTTTTATAGACGTGTGTTTGAACTAGAGATTTTTAAGAATAACAATAATCCCTTCAACTACACAAGTTACCTGGTTCGTGTAATATTTATAAGAATAAAACATGAATTATTAACTATGATATTAGTTAAAATGAAAAAAAAATTACTAAATAAATTTAATGGATGGCAAGATTTGGCAAAATGAATAAGATAATCTAAGTGGGATTTTTGAATTCCAAATATAATCCACCTCAGAGATTATTTCCCCATCTAGGGTGAATTGAATAGTACCAACCTACAGACGCCAGGTGCTTCACGCATTTTCAAACTAAATATGAAGACTCCACGACTGCATGGCGTCTTCAGACAAGTTGAGAAAACCTCAGGAATGCACGACGTCTTCAAATCAATAAGAAGCCCAGGGCCGGTCCAATGAGTTTTAATGCCCTAGGCGAGATAATAATTTTATGCTCCTATACTTGTACCGTATAATAGACAAAATATATTTTTTTTAAACAAAAATGTAATAGAAATTATAGTCAAACAATATCAATACTAATACAAACCAAAACCTAAGGCTACAAATATCACCTAAAATGATGCATTCGTGCATTTTTTGAAGCAAAAACATCTATTATTTTACGATAATCAAGACTTTGTAAAAATTGACTTTCGATGCTTAGAATTGCTAATCCGTTCAATCTTTCTTGAGTCATCGTGCTTCGAAAATAGGATTTCAAGAGCTTCAATTTTGAAAAACTTCTTTCCGCGGAAGCAACCGTAACCGGTACCGTCAACAAAATTTTATATGCTATCAACACATTAGGGAACATATCCATTCTTCTTACAAACTCCATTATTTGAATAGATGTCCATGGAATTTCACTTTTGTGTGCTTCATCCGGTAACATTTTCTGCAAAATTTGTAACTCCATAAATAAATCATTTCCATCAATATCAAATTCTTCACCATTTGTCAAATTAGACTCAAGATTTAAACAACATTTTTTTAGTTTGTCATCAAGTAATGAAATTAACTTTGAACCATCAAACAAAAAACCAAATATAGACTTGAAATGTTGCATTTGTTCAAATCTACTTTTCAATTGAACAAGAGCCATATCTACAAGAATAATAAAGTAATCCTTTCAAAATGCTTCTTGAGAAGATTGTTGTTCTCTTTCGGTATTTGGAATTTCATCAAATTGTTTTTTTCTATAAGAAATACGTTTTTTAGGAAATTGAGGTTCAACCCCAATATTATATGCTATTTCTTTAGCTTCATTAATAGCATTGCCAAACCCAATTTCCCTATATTCTTCAAAGTAAATAATTAACCCCTCTAAGTTTTTAACCGCAACATCAAGAAGCATATCTTTGGATTGTAATTTCTTACTAACCAAATTAATTCTAAACAAAATTTCATGCCATATAACTAAACTTAAAATAAATTCAAAACTAGAAAGTTCACCATTTACTAATGATTCGACATCTCGACACACTTTTCCATCATCACTAATTTCGGCTAATCTTATTAAAGCTTCTCTTATTTGAGAGAATTGAGTTTTTATTGCTTTAACACTTTCAATATGACTTTCCCAACGAGTAGCGGATAATGATTTAAGTGTTAGTTCATTTATAAATTCAAGTAAAACACTCCATCTTTTTGTGGAACTAGAAAAAACATTATAAATTGTTTGACATGTACCAAAAAATATTTTTGCCTTGTGACAAGAATTTGACATATCACACAAAACTAAATTTAAACTATGACACCCACAAGGCATATAAAAAGCTCTACGATTTATATCAAGCAACCGTTTTTGTACACCATTGTGTTTTCCTTTCATATTAGCTCCATTATCATACCCTTGACCACGAACATAATTAATATCTAAATCAAGAGATTTTAGAGCATCTTGTAAAATATTAAAAAGTTTTAGACCGGATGTTTCTTCTACAATTAAAAACTCTAAAAAAATTCTTCTACTTTTATTGGAACACTTGTCACATCCACACATCTTATAATTAAAGTCATTTGTTCTTTGTGACTTGCATCCGGAGTGCAATCAAGAATTATAGAAAAATATTTTGCATCTTTAATTTTTTTAATAATTGCACTTTTTACATCCAATGCCAACATTTCGATTAATTCATTTTGAATTTTATGACTAAGATAATGATTATGTGTTTCTTTGTCTTGAATTAATCGAAAATGTTCTTTCATCACAGGATCAAACTCAGCAATCATTTCAAGTATACCTAAAAAATTACCATTTGAGTTTTCATAAATTTTTTCATTTTTGCCACGAAAAGCCAAATTATTTTTTGCTAAACATTTCACAACAGCAATAATTCTAACCATCACTTCTTTCCAATGTTCAATATCTTTTTTTATCATTTCTTGTAACTCTTTATCAATTGTTTCATTTTTATTTAACCTAATTCGTGTTTCGGTCCAAGTTCTTAAATTAATCATATGATCGGAATTATTTTCATGTTGTTTTAATGTTTCACCTAAATGTCTCCAATCATTTATTCCTTCAATTGCTAAATTACTTTTAGTCCGAGAGGTTTTAAATAACTTACAACAAAAACAAAAAACTTTATCAAGTTCTTTTGAATACACTAACCATTTTCTATCACAACAATCACCATTTCTTAATTTACGAATAAAAAAATACAAGAAAAATGTCTACCATGTGCATCTTTTGGAAAAAATTATTAGGTTCAATTTCTCTATTAGGCCCTTTTTCTATAAGTAAATCTTTCATTTTTGAATCTAAGTCATCCCACACTCTAGGATCAAAAATATTAAAAACACTTGATTTATCTTTATCAACAAATTCATTATTCTCACCATCTTTAGAATTATCAACCGAATCATTAGGTGAATCATTGGAATTTCCAATATTATTATTAGAAGTATTATATGAATCATTGAAATTTCTAATAGGATTATTAGAAGTATTAGGTGAATCATTGGAATTTCCAATCGGATTATTAGAAGGTTTAATCGGTTTAACAATAAATCTATCTAAAGACCCATGTAAAGAATTAGACATTTCTTGTTCTTGTTTTTTTCGTTTTCTATTTTGGGCACCCGATGGTTGTTTTCGAGGTAACATATTTAAAAGTAATCAATAAAACAAATATAGTAGTAAGTAAACTATAAAACAAATATATTAGCAAGGAAAGATACAACCTGACTGGTGATTCGAAGTTTATGTTGTTGACTTGTTCTTTCTCACAATCAACTGATCTGGAAAAATAATAAGGAATCACTCTAAAAAAATGTCTTGAACGAAAATATTTAGCCACTGTTTTTTTTTTCTCATCAAACTAAGTTTGCCACTACACAATCAAAATTCAAACAATCAAACAAGCTCATAAAATAAATATTTAGCCACTGTTTTTTCCATCAAACTAATTTATGAAAAGGCACCTAAGTCTTGGGGACTATAAACTAATTTACCCTTAGACTTCAGTGACAAAAATTTAATTTACCCAAAAAAAACCTAAATATACTAAGTTTGCCGACTAAACATAAAAAAAATGTGTGCCGACTAAATATGCAAAAAATGAGTAAGTTGAAGCGGCGGAACGGTTCCACCTAAATTGGTTCTTTAAGTTTCAATTCACTTTGATTATTTACTATCAACCCAGCTCAATTTATTTTAATAAAATGAATATATATTAAAAAAAATCAAAGCCAGTTGGGAATGCAACATTTCATACCACCCTTTGAATTATTAAAAGACAAAACTTCTATATTTAAATAAACAAAACTATTTTGGATCCAAACTCCAAATTATTTCACACTGCCACTCCTCTCGTCTTAGTTCATAACAAACTAGACTTCCGAACCTAAATCGAGCTTCTTTCTATCTCTTACCTTTTGAAAACCGTAAGTCTTTCCGATGAAAACTCCAAGTCTCCAACGATCCTCCAATGACCAACGATTAACAGGTAAACAAGACTTTCGCCTCTCTCTGTTACAATTGTTTTCCTTTCAAAGAAAAAATAAACCCTCCCCTCTCTGTTACAAGTGTTTTGAATAGGATGAGGATTTTTAATCGAATGGTTGCCTTTGCTCACTCCCTTTTCGTGTATTTCGCTTGCTAATGGTTTTTTTCTTGAATGGTTTTTTCAAATCCTCTTTCTTCCCCCTTTTTGTGCTCGAAATGGATCCCATTTTCTATTTTTTTTCCACCGAATCCTGATTGTCCTCTTGTTGATTTTCTTCGTTATTTGGTGAAGTGAAATCCTGCTTGTCCTCTTGTTGATTTTCTTCGTTATTTGTTGAAGTTAAATCTCGAAAATTTAGGGATTTAGGTTGCTTTTTCTTCTTTGACTTAGGGAATGATTGGTAGATATTGAATTTTGATAATTTGGGTTACTGCTTGCAGATTTGGTGAACGACAAGGATGGAGCTGGCAGCTTGTTTCACTGGATTAATTTTTTTAAGTCAAATATGTATATACTATATATATGTGCTTATAAACTGATGCCCCCAATATTATGTTGCCCTGGGCTA